GTCCCGCGGGCAGGAGTCATCCGACAGCACCAACACCACCATCGAGGATGAGGACACCAAAGGTGACGGGCGCTGGGGGCGGTGGGGATGCACTGGGACACACTGGGAGGGAGCTGGGATGCACTGGGGTGCTAGGATGCATTGGGTTGCACTGGAATGGCACTGGGATGCACTGGGAGTGTCTTGGAATGCCCTGGGGTGGTGATAGGATGGCACCAGTATGCATTGGGGTGCACTGGAATGGTACTGGGAGGAACTGGGACGGCACCGTGATGCCCTGAGATGGCACTGGGATGCACTCAAACAGTTCTGGAATGCACTGGCTTAGCACTAGGATGCATTGGAGTGCACTGGAAGTGTGCTGGAATGCACTGGGATGGAGCTGGGATGCACTTGGATGGCGCTAGGATGCATTGGGGTGCACTGGAATGGAACTGGGCTAGCACCAGCGTGCATTTGGTTCACTGGGATGCATTGGGATGGAGCTGGTTTGGCAAAGGATGCATTGGGGTGCACTGGAATGATGCTGAGATACACTGCAACCGTGCTTGGATGCACTGGGATAGCACTGGAATGCACTGGGATGGCATCAGGATGCATTGGGGTGGCACTAGGATGCACTGGGAGTGTGCTGGATGGAATGCATTGGAATAGAACTGGGATGCACTGGATTGGCACTAAGTTGCACTGGGATGAACTGGGATGGAACTGGCATGGGACCAAGATGCCGTTGGTGCACTGAGGTTGCACTGTGATGCACTGGGGCAACACTGGAATGCACTGGGAGGGATCTGGGATGGCACCAGGATGCATTGGGATGTCACTGGGATGGTACTAGGTTGCACTGGAATGGCACAGGGATGGCAGAAGAATTCATTGGGTTGCACTGGGACATCACTGGGATGCACTGGGAGACAGTTGGAATGCACTGGGATGGATTTGGGGTGCACTAGGATGGAGCTGGGATGACACCCAGGATGCATTGAGATGCACTGAGATGCCTCCAGGGTGCATTGGGACATCACTGGGATGCACTGGGAGCATGCTGGGATGCACTGGGATGGTACTAGGTTGCATTGGTGTGCAATGAGATGGCACTGGGATGGATTGGGATGCACTACAAGTGCATGGGGCCAGACTGGTACAGCACTGGGATGCTCTGGAATGGGCCTGGGATGGCACCGAGGTGCATTAAGTTGCACTGAGATGGACTGGTGTGGTATTGGGATGCACTAGAGTGTACTGGAATGGCACTGGGATTCGTTGAGAAGGCATGGGGATGGACAGACATGCAGTAGGGTGGCATTGGAGTGCATTGGCATACACTGGTGTGGCACTGACATGCACTGAGGTGGCAGTGGGATGCACTAGGATGATGCTGGGACATGCTAGGATGGTACCAAGAGGTGCTCTGGATAGAACCGGGATGTACTGGGATGTATTGGGATGCACTGGAATAGCACTCAGACACGTACTGTGACACTGAGATGTAGTGGGATGTCACTGGGATAAACTGGAGCGTACTGAGTGTACTGATATGCTCTGGAGTAGTACTGGGACATACTGGGATGGTAAATGGGCTGTGTTGGAATGCACTAGAGTGGCACTGGGATGCACTAGGATGAAACTGGGATGACTAGTGGCATCAGAATGAAATGAGGCATTGGGATGTAGTGGAGCAGGCTACACTGGAATGATACTGGAACATACTGGGATTGCACTGGGACACACTGAAATTCAACAGCATGATGCTGGGATGCACTGGGATGGAACTGGGTGGAACTGGAATATGCTGGAAGGGCGCTGGGACACAGTAGGTTGGCACTGGTTTGCATTGAAATGCGCTGGGATGGCCCTGAGATGTACTGGTATAAAGTGAGGTGTATTGGGATGCCCTGGAATAGTACTGAGATGTAGTGGAATGGCACTGGAATGCAGTAGGATTGCATCGGGGTGCAACTGGGATGTATTGGGAGGCACTTGGAGGCAATAGGATGGCACTGGGATGCACTGGGATGTATCAGAGGGCACTGGAGTAGCTCTGGGATGCACTGGCATACTCTGGGATGCAATAGGATTAGGATGCAATAGGACTAGGATGTGTTGGGATGCACTTGCATGGAACTGGGATAGTACTGGGATGCACTGGAATGGCAGAGACAGTGGGATAGCGCTGGGAGACGCTGGTATGGAACTGGCTGTATTGGGTTGTGCTAGAATGGCACTGGGATGTACTGGGACTTGCAGGGATAACAGTGGGCTGCACTAGGAACTACTGCAAAGTGCTGAGTGGGCACTGGGATGTCTGAGCATGCTGGGAGGGTACTGGGACATGCTGGGGTGGCACTGGTGTAGCACTGAGACATGCTGAGAGGATCATGCAGATACTCATGTGGCAGAGCTATGGGGGCCTTGGGAGCACAGTGGTCCCTGTCTGTCCCCAAGGTCCTTCTGTCCCCAAGGGCTGTCTGTCTGTCCTCATGGTCCCTGTGTCTGTCCCCATGGTCCGTCCCCATGGTCTGTCTGTCTGTCTCCAAGGTTTGTCTGCCCCCAAGGTCTGTCTGTCCCTGTGTCTGTCCCCATGCCTCCCCTCTATGTCCCACGTCCATCCCAACATCCCGTCCACCGCCCCCCACGGTGTCCCCGCGGGGCGGGGGCAGTGGCAGTGACAGTGACGTGCCCCCAGCCCGCAAGCAGGAGATCATCAAGATCACGGAGCAGCTCATCGAGGCCGTCAACAACGGGGACTTCGAGGCCTACGCGTGAGTGGGGCAGGTCTGGGGGGGATGGGCGGGGGGGGCCAGGGCCTGGGGGGGGGGGGCCTGGTGGGGCGGTGCCGGGCCGCTCTCATCTGCTCCCTGCAGGAAGATCTGCGACCCGGGGCTCACCTCCTTTGAGCCCGAGGCGCTGGGCAACCTGGTGGAAGGGATGGACTTCCACCGCTTCTACTTCGAAAACTGTGAGTGGTTGACCCCCCCAGTGACACCTGCCCTGCCTGTGCTCTGCCTGTGCCCTGCCCATCCTGCCTGCCCTGCCCACCCTCTCTGTATCCAGCCCATCCCTATTCATGCTGTGTCCCTGCCTGTCTACTTCACTGGCCCTTGCCTGTTTCCTGTCTCTTGCCCGCTGCCTGCCCACCCTGGTCTCTTGCCTGTCCCTAGCCATACCCTGCTGGGCCATCCATCCGCCTCCACTGCCACCATCCCCGCCCGTTCCCCTGCCAGTTCCTCACCCCTTCGCTGCCCCCATCTGTGCGCACCCCCCTGCCCGTGCCCTGCCCTGCTGACCTTGGCCCCCCTGCAGTGCTCTCCAAGAACAACAAGCCGATCCACACGACCATCCTGAACCCGCACGTGCACGTCATCGGGGAGGACGCGGCCTGCATCGCCTACATCCGCCTCACCCAGTACATCGACGCACAGGGCCGGCCCCGCACCAGCCAGTCCGAGGAGACCCGCGTCTGGCACCGCCGCGATGGCAAGTGGCAGAACGTCCACTTCCACGGCTCGGGGGCCCCTGTCGCCCCGCTGCAGTGAAGGTGAGGGCAGGATCGGGGTTTGGGGCGGTGGGGAGCCCTGGTTGTGGCTCACCGGGGTGTCCCCACAGAGCTCGCCATGGCTGTCCTGGTTCCAGCCCGACGGAGACGGCGATGGGAGCCGAGGCGGCAGCCGGAGCTGCGGCCCCCCGAAGCACGCGTCCGCATGCCTGTCCCCCCCCCGCCCTGGCCCCTGCTCCTCCCCCTCCAGTGCCTGTGTTTGCAGAAAACAAAAAGACAAAAAAAAGCCGAAAACGAGGAAGACAACGAAAAAAAAGGGGGAAAACCCACCCCAATTCCAACCCCACCCACACCCCCAAACCCAACCCAGCCGCTCGGCCACAGGCGGGGTGCTGGGGGGCTCAGATCCCCCTCTCTGCCCGTCTCTCCTGGGGGGCAGGGGGGGGTCCCGGCCCCCCTCCCGGCTGTGCTCGTGGCGTGTCGCTGTCGCTGGTGGTGGATGTTGTTCTTTGGGCTCCGCTTTGCTCTGTCCTGCCCCAGCCCCTGTACATAGAGAGAGCTCTTTATTTTTGAATTCCCGTGGGGGTCCCCAGCCACGGGGGCTGCCAGGGGGTGAGTGAGGTGAGGGGGACACACACAGATTCTCCCTGCCCCCCCCAGTCCAGCCCTGCCCCTGGGGGCCCGAGGCTGATCCTGGGCACTGCTGTGCAGGGAACACGTGGGTGGCTGTGGGAGGGTCCCTCGGTCACACCCCTGTCCTCAGTCCCCATCCCGCTGGTTGTCCTCCCCCAGCACCCCGTATCCCGGGTGCCAGCTCCAGGTGCTGGCAGGTTTTGGCAGGGGTATGTGGGTGCCATGTCAGGGGGCTGGGGGCAGCCAGGGGGTGTTGGGGTTCGGGGCGGGGGTCTCGGGACGATCCAGCCAGCACTGACGCGGCATCGGAAGCACTTTAGACTAAGAGAACGGGTCTCTTACAGGGGCACAGGCTGCTCCGCCGGGGCCCCCCCCAGCACAGGGGCACCGGCAGCACGTCGCACACACCCCCCACACACCCCCAGCCAGCACTGTGGGGGCACCCTGTCACCCCAACCCCCATCCCTGGGGATGCATCACCTCGCTCCTGGTGCTCCCCACGCGATTCCCCCAGGGTGTCCCCTCCGTGCTGGGGGCTGGTTTTGGCTGGGGCGGGGGAGGGGGTGGGAGGGGCGGGGGATATTAATTATTTTTTAATTATTCTGATGATTTCTCTGCATGCCCTTTGCGCGGGAGCAACCCTCGGGCGCTAACGCTGTATGTTGAGGAGCTGAGCTGAGCTGTTCCTGTCCCATGAATGCTGGTGGATCGTTGCCAAATTTTTCTCTTTCCTCCCTTTTTCTCTCATTCTTTTTCTGTCTCCCCCCCCCCCCCTCCCCAGCATATCCCCCCGCCCCCCCCCAAAAAACCCCTTTGTCTTTTCTTTCTGAGCCTTGTAAGTGTAAAAGATGACTCTGATTTCGTTTTTGTCTCGGGAAAACTGCAAATAAATTACGAGGAAAAACCAACGATCATTTAAGAAAGAGGTGGAGGGAGGAGGCCAAGTGCATCCGTCCCTGCCGGGGTGCCCAGGGAGTGTTGCCCAGGTGTTTGTCCCAATTCCCCCCAGGACGCCGCACAGAGAAGGGGAATAGGGCTACAACTGGCAAAGACAACTTTATCCCCCCGGCCGGTGCAGCTGGGGCACGGAAATGACCCAATCACCATGCGGGTACAGCCCAAGCCCAAGCTTTTCCCTTCCCAAGGAGGAGGAAGGGGAGGCAGGGAGGGCTGCTGGGCCCCCAGCAGGCGCTGAGACCCCCCCAGCTGATGGGAGCAGGAGAGGGGACTCTGAGGTGCAGGGAAGGCTGGTGAGCTCCCCCGCAGGCACAGGGACGTGGCTCTGGAAGAAGCTGCCCGGGAATGCAGCAAGCACTCCCCCAGCCAAGGAGCCTCTTTTTTTTCCCTCCCCGCCCCCCCCTTCTCCCACCCCCCAGCTCACCCTTTGGACACAGAATACATAAAAGCCCTCCAGCCCTTGGGATTGTGGCAGGGGGCTGCTCCTGCCCCCCCCAGCCCCTTGGGACAGCAGTGGGGGGCCCCTCCCAGGTCCCCATGGAGGGGTTGTGAAGGCAGGGGGTTGCGTGGCCTGGCACCCCACGGTCCGAGCCTCCCCCAGGAACAGCGAGAGCAGGAGGTCTCTGGTGCAGACCCCCCTGCAGTGCCGGCCCAGTGCCAGCTTCGGTGTCCCCTCAAGGTGGACAACAGTCACATCAGCCCAGGGGGCTGAGGAGCCCCAGCCCAGCCCCAGGAACTCCCTGGGGGGGGCTGCAGAGGGGGACGGAGGGCTGGTGGTCCGGAGCTGGAGACCCCGGGCTCCGCGTCACATGATTTCACAGCATGAATTCTGCTTTCGGGCCTGGGAAGAGAAGGAAAACCTTCTGTAAAGCTTGCCACGGCTCCCCAAAGGTTTTGGGGGTCCCAGGACTACCCAGCTGGGGTCCCACACAGCTCCCCTCCTGACAGAGGAGGCTGACGTGGCAGGGTCCCAGCCACAAGGCTGAAGGCTCATGGCAAGGAATGGACCCCTCATCCCTCCCTTTGGCCAGAGCTGGCACTAAGCAGCCCCCCGCTCTCATCACAGGGTGTGGGATGGCCCCAGTGAGGGGCTGGGGGGCTTTGCAGCCAGAATTGGGGCACCCGGGCTCCCTCCAGGTTCAAAGCCTGCAGGAACAGGGGTAATCCTTGCTTGGCACCCATTGCCATGCCCCAGGGTTCATCCATGGGGGTGACCCCTGGGATGATACTCCATCCACCCCCAGCTCCTTAGGCAGAGGGTGACTCCCTCAGGGTTCATCTGTGAGCTCCCAGTCCTCCCCAGCTCCTCAGGGAGGGAGTGACCACCCCCAGGGTTCATCAATGGACCCCCAGACCCCCTGGCTCCTCAGGGAGGGGTGAACCTCCACACCCACCGTTTTGTAGAAGGCTTTAGACTGTGCTCCGAGCACCTCCGATTTGGAGACCAGGTCATCCAGCTTCTCCCCCCCGCTCCAGCAGTGACTCCATAGTGTTGTGCTGCCAGAGAAATGGGTGCTGAGCCCCAGCACTAGCCCTCCCCAGGTCCCTGGCAGGAGATGGAGGTGCCACCATGTCCCCATCCCACCTTCCCACAGCCCCCCCCCAGCTCTGCAGCCCTGAGGGAGACAGGAACATGGCTGGGGGCAGGAGCAGCAAAGCCCCCACGGGGCCACCAGGCAGGGAGGGGACAGGCATTTGGAGAGAGGGGGCAGAGCCCCTGTGCTTGTGTCAGGCCAGCTGGGAAAAGCCCAAGAGGAGCAAGGAGAGGAGTAAGGGGAAAAAAGTGGGGAGCAAGGGTAAAAGGAGAGAGGGAAAGGAAAAAGGTGGGGGAAGCAAAAAGGTGGGGAAGGGAAAAAGGGGAAGAGGTAAGGAAGCTCCCACATCAAGGAGGTCTCCAGGGAATGGCTTGGGGCCACCCTACCCCTGCCCCACAATGTGTGTCCCCAGGGCCTGCTGGCTGTGCTGGCAGGACCATCCAGCCACGGCCCCATGTCCTCACCAGGATGATTTTGGTCTCGTCCAGCTCTGCCTGCACTCGGGTCATCGGGTCGGCATCACGGGGGTTCTGGGGAGGAACAACATGGCACTGGCACCACCACGGGGACACTGGGGTTCCCTGGGCACAGCCCCACAGCACCGGGGTCCCAACACGTGCCAGGTGTCCCCCACCTCCCACCGCCATTCCCAGGGCTGCAGGGAACACGGGAACCCTCTCTCCCACTGCCCGGCAGGCTCCCAGTGGTCTGTACCTGGTATTTGCTGAGGTATCCATCCAAGGCAGAGTAGCTGATGGTGGCAGGGGACCCCGAGGGCCAATCCATCTTGCTGACCTGCCTGGAGAACTCATCCAGCACCTACCAGGTGAGGAAACAGCAGTTACTGCCCAGTAGCTGCACCTGTGGGGCCACACTGGCCGAAAGGGTTTGCTCATCAAAATAGGAAATTTTAGGAAAGGGACCTGAAAGCTCATCTAGTCCCACCCTTTGCCATGGGCAGAGACACCTTCCACCAGAGCAGGTTGCTCCAAGCCCCGTCCAACCTGGCCTGGAACACTTCCAGGGATGGGGCAGCCACAGTTTCTTGGGCAACCTGTGCCAGTGCCTCACCACCCTCACAGGGAAGAATTCCTTCCCCTCTAACCCTGCTTTGGGTCAGCATGAAGCCGTTCCCCCCTGGCCTGTCCCTCCAGGCCCTTGTCCCAAGTCCCTCTCCAGCTCTCTTGGAGCCCCTTTAGGCACTGGAAGGGGCTTTAAGGTCTGCCTGGAAACTTCTCCAAGCTGAACACCCCCAGCCCTCTCAGCCTGTCTCCCTGGCAGAGGGGCTGGAAAGCTGGGAAAGGACCTGAAGGTGCTGGTGACAGTGGCTGAACGTGACCCCAGGGGTGCCAAGGGGGCAGGAGGCCAGTGGCCCCTGGGCTGTCCCAGCCATGGGGTGTCACAGCCCCAGGGCAGTGCCCATCCCTGTGCTGGCACTGCTGGGGCACCTCCAGGGCTGTGTCCAGGGCTGGGCCCTCAGCAAGAGAGACACTGAGGGGCTGGAGCGTGTGCAGGGAAGGGAACGGAGCTGGGAAGGGGCTGGAGCAGCAGGAGCATCTGAGGGAGCTGGGGGGGCTCAGCCTGGAGAAAAGGAGGCTCAGGGGGGACCTTCTGGCTCTGCAACTCCCTGACAGGAGGGGGGAGCCGGGGGGGTCGGGCTCTGCTCCCAGGGAACAAGGGAAAGGACAAGAGGAAACGGCTTCAAGCTGTGCCAGGGGAGGGTGAGGTTGGATGCTAGGAAAATTCCTTCCTGGAAAGGGTTGTCCAGCCCTGGCACAGCTGCCCAGGGCAGTGGTGGAGTCCACACATCTCTGGAAGCGTTAAAAAAAAACATGTGGATGTGGCACTTGGGGACATGGGTTAGTGGTGGCCTTGGCAATGCTGGGGGAATGGTTGAACTGGATGCTCTCAAAGGGTTTTTCCATCCAAAACAATTCCACAATTCCTTGAGAGGTGCTTCAACCCTCTGATCGCCTTGGTGACCCTCCTCCTTGATCCCTTTTGAATGAGCTGAGGGCAGAGACAAGGAACCAACAGCCTCGGCACACAAGGACCAGAGCAATGCCCACACCAGGCCGGGGTGGTCATCTCTGACTGTCCCCAATCCCCTGCACGTGCCACGGTGGGAGGACTGGTGGAGTGCCCCGGAGCAGCTCCTGGCCTGTGCCCTCACCTTGTCCAGCAAGGTGAAACAAACCCGCTGTGGATACTCGTTGTCTGCAATCACCACTCCAGCCAGCCCATCGTTCCGGACGTACACGTGGCACAGGTACTCTGGGAAGGAAATCCCTGTCACAGAGGCAGCAAAGGTCCGAGCCCTCCCCAGCACCCACCACGGTCCACCCAACCCCACAGCTTCCCCCTTCCCCCCACAACACCCTGGAAGGTGTCATTAGCACCCACATTTCTCATGATTTCATTAGGAAAACAGGAAGGGCTCAACATTTGGGGCTCAGCCTCCAACTGTGCTGTGGTAGGTGACCACACCCAGGCCATGTGGTGCAGGACAGGACACTGATGTCCCAGGGCAGCCACAAGTAAACAAAAACTAGTGAGGCACTGAGTCTGACTTTACGTAATTTAATTAATAACAAGGCTGAGGTGTCATTAAAGAGGCTTCAGCAGCCAAATCCAGGCCGCACCCCACGCATCCTGGGGTTCCAGAGGCATGTGGAGCCGGGCAGGGAGACTGGAATGTGGCGAGAATTTGGAATACGGAGCGCAGACTTGCACAGTAAAGCTGGCACAGCCACCCCGCGGGGGGGCTGCAGTCCAACAGCTCCGGGGGTCCCAAGGGAGGTAGGGAGAGCACAAACAGTGGCAGCAGGTGCCTGCGCACCCTGGAACCTCTCCTGTGCTGGGCTGGGCTCGCATTCGGCTCAGCACCTCATGCCCTCAGTGCTGCTCACCCAGACACTGGTGGTGGTGTGAATATTCCCAGAAACGGGGTGGGCACAGGGGCTGCTCTCACCTTGCTCCTTGACAGAGGCCCTGCTGCCCAGCGCCGAGCGCTCTGCAATCAGCTGGCTCGTGAACGTCATGAACTCCTGCACACTGTGGGGACAGAGCACCAGGATGGGTCAGTGATGGGGGATCATCTGTCCCACAGCTCCCCGGTGCGTTGTAGGGACTGAAACCCTTCCCCACAAGCCCCCCAGTGTCTGGATAGTGGGGCTGTGGCTGAGCAGAGGATTTTCCTTTGAGAAAAGGCTGGACCCTGCACCTATGCAGAGTGGCAGCCCCCAAACAAAGACCCCCAGCCACCACCCAGACCCCCCCAGATCCTCCCCAGACCCAGGGGAGCACCTAGATCCCTCCAGCTGCAGTGACAGACTTGTGTCCTTGGGCTGAACTTGCTTTATGGGGATTTAGCAGAAAGCAAAAATGCTATCGAACCTGGATCTGTCCAGCCAACACCTGGTGAGCAACTGCATCATGGCAATCATGGAATGTTTTGGGTTGGACTGGACCTTAAAGATCATCCAGTCCCACCCCCTTGCCATTCCACTAGAATCAGAGAATATGCTGAGTTGGAAGGGACCCATCAGGATCATCACATCCAACTCCTGGCCCTGCACAGACACCCCAACAATCCCACCACGTGCCTGAGAGCATTGTCCAAATGCTTCTTGAGCTCTGGCAGCCTTGGGGCCGTGACCACTGCCCTGGGGAGCCTGGTCAGTGCCAACCACCCTGTGGGGGAAGAACCTTTTCCTGAGATCCAACCTAAACCTCCTCTGACTCAGCTCCAGCCGTTCCCTCGGGTCCTGTCACTGGTCACAAGAGTGAAGAGACCAGTACCTGCCCCTCTGCTGCCCCTCAGGAGGATGCTGAAGACCCCAGTGAGGTCTGACCTCAGTCTCCTCTTCTCCAGGCTGAAGAAGGCCCTCATAAGGACCATCCAGACCTTCCTCATCCTTGTGGCCTCCTTTGCACCCTCTCTAATGGCTTCATATCTTCCTTATATTGCAGTACCCCAAACTGCCCCAGTATTGCAGGGGGTCAGAGCAGAGCGGGACAATCCCCTCCCTGGCCCGGCCATGCTGGGCCTGATGCCCCCAGGACACGTTGGCCCTCCTGGCTGCCAGGGCTCTGCTGACTCAGGAACAACTGGCCATGGACCAGGACCCCCAGGGCCCTTCCTGCAGCTGCTCTCCAGCCTCTCATCCCCAGCCCACACACACAGCCAAGGGCTGCCCCGGCCCAGGGGCAGAATCTGGCCCAGCCCAGACACTGACTGGACACTGGCTCCATGGAGACTCCGGACCATCGAGGTCTTGGGTGCTGCAGAGAAAAGTCAAGCTCAAGGATTACTAAACATCCAGCTTCGGCAGAGAGGGAAGATGGACACCTTCCTCCTGGTCTGGGGATCTGCTGGCAGCCACAGCTCCCACCATTGTAATCCCAGAGTTTCATATTTAGATTGGGAAAGACATTTAAGACCACTGAGTACAACTGTCTGACAGTTCTATGTGTATCATCCAATGCATATCTTCCTCAAGAAAGACATCTCTTCCATTGGGAATATTAGTTTTATTTCCCAGTATTCCTGGAGGAACTGCCCACTGAAGACTTCATTCCACCCTCCTGACCCTGCCGAACTCCTTGGCAGACGTTCAGCAGGTGTGAAGCACCGGCACAGCCTGGGCCTGTGCTCCTGCCCAGCAGGTTCCACAGCTCCCAGCAGCCACAGCCCTGCTTATCCCAGATCCAACCCCTCAACCCAACTCCACAGCCTCAAAAGACTATGGATATGTGGCATTTTAGCCCAAACTTCAGTTAAACACACCTTTAACATCAAACCTGGGCCAAGCTCTCACAGCCCCTCCAAGCATCATCTGGGAATCAGCCCAGGACAAGCATCGAACCCCAGGAACAGCTGCCAGACCATCCCCTTCCTCAAACCCCTTCACTCTTCCCAAATTCCAAGACTTTTCTTTAAGCAAGGGAGCAGCCTGCTGCTGGGGCAGCTGACAGCAAAACCACACTGGGAGCTCTCTCAGGATTTGGGAAAACAAGAGCTGCAGCCACATTTGGGATCAGAGCTGACGTCAGATGCTGGCACTGCTCCACATCCCACTCACACATTTGACCAAGAAAGAGCTTTTTAAGACAATCTTAGTTCAGTCTTTTCCCTTTATCCTTGGAATTGCAGAACCAAATGTGCCTGAGGTTCCATAAAACTCTGGCATGGAAAATCTGAGTCCCAGCGGAATTTCCTAACTCCTTCACCATCTGGAGTGTGCACTGGGAAGGACCTGTTCATTCCTGCTTTGTTTTACAGCTTCAGGAGGTCCTGGCTGCCAAGAGGACCCTCTGTGTGCCCAGAGGGGACAGTGGGACACCAGGAGCCTGGATCAGTGTTGCTCACCTGAAGCTATTGGAAGAACCTGAGCGGAGGTTTGTGGGCTGGGAAAAGCTTCAAATGAGGCCAAACCCCTCTCCCAAGGTACCAGGGTGCAGGTGAGCCCCCCCAGCCTGGCACAGTCTGGCCATCCCACCCCTGGGGTGGTGCCTGCTCCCTGATTTCCTCACTGGGCTGCAGCAGAAGGTTTGTGGGGTCAGACCTGCCCTGCCCCTGGCCAGGGTGGCTCTGGGGGCTTCACTGCACCCCCGAGGTCGACCCCTCACCCCAAGTGCTGATAGCAGGTCCCAGCTCCCCAAGGAGCGACTCCAGAGGGATTATCCCTCAGGAAGAGCCTGTCACCGCTGCCCCTGCAGCCCCAGCCGGGCAGAAAACCTCCCAAAGGCTTCTGCTCCCCCAGCAGGGTCCTGCCCGAGCCACGTGCCAGGGGCAATCCTCCCTCCTCAAACCCCTTGCAGAGGCTCCAGCCCCCCAGGACCCACCTGGACCTCTGGAAGAAGTTGAAGGTGGACACGTCATAGGCAGCTTTGAGCAAATGCACTTTGGGGTCACCCTTGTAAAGGACACTTAGGCTGTAGAGCCTCATGGCGACGGCTCCCGGGCCTGGGGGGAGAGGGAAGGGTCGGAGCTGGGGCCAGGGGGACACTGGGACCCTCCAGATCTTCCTGGGACTCCCCACCCAAATCCCCCACCCTCCATGTTTTAAATGTCCCCAGGCAACCTGAACCCCCAACCCCTCCTGAGCCCCCTCTGACCCCCGACCTCCAGCCCCAGCAGGGCCCCCATCCAGGCCTAACCACACCCTGCCCCCCCAGTACAAGCCAGCCCAGCCCTCCCAGCTGGCCCAGTATAACCCAGCCCCCAGTATAACCAAGTACAGCCCAGTCCCCCACTCCGCTATAACCCAATAAAATGCCAGCCACTCCACCCATTATAACCCAGTACAGCCCAGCCCCTGGACCCCAGTACAAGCCAGCCAGCCCAGTTCCCCCCCGTACAGTCCAGTCACCCCCAGTATGGCCCAGTACGGCCCAGTCCCCGCCAGTACAGTCCAGTCACCCCCAGTACGGCCCAGTCCCCGCCAGTATGGCCTAGTACGGCCCAGTCCCCGCCAGTATGGCCCAGTACAGCCCAGTCCCCCCCAGTATAGCCTCCACACGGCCCGGTACCGACGCTCCGGTCGCGGCTCAGCTCAGGTGGCGGCCGAACGGGGTCGATGGGCGTGACCCGGAAGTGGAACTGCGGCGACCGGAAGTGCCCCGGACCCGGGCGCTGCCACGGGGGCTCCTCCCGCCCTGCGCACGCGCCGAGCGCGCCCCGCCCCCTCGGCTTCCCGGCCAATCAGCGCCCGCCACCCCCCTCCCGGCCTCGGCCGGGCGGCAAATCCGAGTCGCTCCGCGGCCGGCCGGCAGGGGGCGCTGTGCGGGGGGCGGAGGGGGCCCAGGGGACCTGCCCGGTCCGGCCCCGGGACCCCGCAGGGTGGGGACCTCTCGTGCGCCTCTCGGCCCCCGGGTGGGACCCGCCGTGCGCTGGGGACCCCGCCGCCGTGGCGGGACCCCTCTCTGGGCGGACCCCAGCGCTGGGGTGGGGCTACCTGTGCCCTCCCGTGCGCCCAGGTATCCTCTGCGCAGAGGCAGGGGAGGTGCTGTGGAGTGACCATGTGTGTTCCCCCCCTCGCCCTGCCGTGATGCCCCTAAACCCTCTGCCTTCCCCAGAGCCCCCTCGTTCCCCCACGGAACTGGCACGCCTGGCACCCCCCCGGGCTGCCCGGGGACCCTCCCCAGCTCTGTGTCCGAGGGGATGCTGCCACGGACCGACGCCGGGAGGTTTTTGGGGTGCACCCGTGACTGGGGGTGTTCCTGATCCCATTGGGACCCCATAGGCCTCCGTTGCCCCAACACTGGGTTGACGACACGGCTCTGGGGGTGACGGGGTGTCGCCACATCCCCGTCCCCAAATCCAGGGCCCGTTCCCAATCCGTTGTGACGCCCGGTGTCAATCCCAGCGCCCCCGGAGCCTTTCCCATCCTGGGGGCACAGAGCACTTCCCAGTCCCCCTCGCCCCTGTGCTGTGTGCCCGGTCTCCATGGGAGCGTGCCGGTTGCCAAGCGGGCCGGTGGAGTGCTTGCCACCGCCATCGAGCCGTTGGTATGACAACGGGGACATGGGTGACCCGGGGCGTGGTGCTTCGCGTGACAGGGGACGGTCCCGGTCTCGCCTCGCCAACGCACCGGGGCGTCCCCGTGGGCTGCGGGAACCCACCGCGCCGGGCTGGGCCCCTGCGCCCTCGCCGGCCCAGGGATTTATCGAGGGAGCGAGGGAGCGAGCGGGACAGCGTGAGCGGAACCCCCGGAGCAGAGGATGTGGGGTGACAGGGCTGAGCCTGCCGGGGCGCCGGGCCCCGCTCCTCGCCCCTCCGCTTGAGGCCTGGGGGGACCGGGACCCCCTCGGCGCGTGCTGCACTGGGGCGTCAGATGAGATAACGCAGCGAAAGTGGAGCATCCGCGTACGGAGCGAGGGACGGAGCTGCCCAGCGCCCGCCGGCCACCCTCAGGGACGGGGCAGGGGGCTCCCCCAGGCCAGACACCGCGGTGGGGGGCACAGAGGCTGAGGGGGGCACGGCTTGGCCCGCAGCCCACCCCGCCCCGCCGGCTGCCCCCATGCTGGATCACCGAGCCAGGATGGAGAGCAGCAGGAAGGAGAAGGTGAGGCCGCTGCCGAGGTGATGCCAGGGGGTCGAGAAGGCCAGGCTAGGGGGCACTCGGGGGGTGTGGGGAGCAGCGTGGATCCTCACAGGGGGTTCTGGCCTTCCCTGGAGCGAGTGGCCAGGTGCTCCTGACATCTCCCAAGGTTCCAACAGAGGTAGCTGGGAGGATGGCTGGCGAGGAGGACACCAGCTCCTGGGCAGCCTGGGGGCAGCCTGACATGTCCAGGGAGGGTCCTGTCCCTGAGGTCACCCCCCCGGCATAGCACAGGCCCCACAGCACTGAGGGCTTGTGATGGAGCTGAGAGCATTTGTGGGATGCTCTGCTGGGCTGGGATGCTCCCACCATCCTGGCATTGCCCTGGGCATCTTCTGGCCACAGAGCTGCATCTCTGGCATGAGATGGGGCCCGTCACCTCCTTTGGCTGGTTGTGACTGTTGTCACCGAGACTCTCAGCAGGATGGCACATGGCTCATCCCCAGTCAAACACTGGTTGTTTGTGGGAAGCTGCTCCCATCTCTTCTCCAGATGGATTGGGCTCACGGGGCCATGCGTGAGGACAGTGGAGACTTTGCCTGCTGCCAGCTGGGACATGGAGGGGACACAATATGTGCTGGGTGTCGCCGGCCACCACAGCCAGCAGCCATGTGGTTCCCAGCTCCATCCCCTTTGTGGGTTGCATTGGACCACACTGTTTCCATGGGAAGCTGAGAGCCGGATTCCGTCACATGGGAAGAGCCAAATCCAGCCAGGGAAGAGCCAAACCTATTGTTTCGGAGGCAAGAGAAGGGATGAGTAGGGACACAAGGTGGTGAGATGGAGAAATAAAATTTGGACCCTCGGGTGCCGGCCCTGGGACAGGGACCCTCCGCCTGCAGCGGATCCAGCATTCCCGCAGGTGATTAGCGCCGAATACCTTCAGCCAATGATCCAGGCAAGATGGTTGAATGCAGCTCCATGCTTTTCCTGGCAGGATTTTTCCAATCATCCCAGGCTGAACACTTTCCGGATCATGCCGGACCTACCGTAGTGCTACCTTGGGTGACTGGCCCCATTCCGGGGTGTCCGGCAGCGTCCCACAGCCCGAAGGGGTCCGTGCTGCAGCCACATCTCTTGGGCTCCTGTCTCCTGGCACCTGGGGGTCCAGGACTAATTAAGCCCCCAGGGTTCAGCACCAGGATAGAGGGGGAGGTGAAGGGATCCCACCCAGCTGTGGATGGTGGCTGAGGCCACAGAAGCCCTGCGGGGCCTTGGAGATATTTGGGCTGAGCCCTCACTTCGGGGTCTGGAGGCTGAGGGACAGCATCGGGGGTCGTGTTACGAGGAGTGGTCCCAATGTTAGGATGCTCCAAACCACACCCCAAACCCTTTACTGAGCCCCCCACCCCAAAACCTGTTGGGAAACAGCAGCAGCCTCAAGGCAAACATCTGTCTGCTGGTGAGAGCAGGAGTGGGAGCATTGGAGCCTGCCGGGAGCCCGGTGACTAATGAGCCCTAATGCTGCGGCTGCAGCTGGTGGAGCGAGCACCGGCTCCGGCTCCATCTGACAGCCGGGGGCCTGGCCCCAGCCCTGCTGCCTAATGGAGGCTGCGCCGAGCTCGGGGTTGCTACGGAAAGGATAAACACAGGTCCTGCCTGCCAGGTGCTTCCCTGGAGTGGGCCCTGCAGCTCTACCTGGCAGCGAGGCAAGGTGGCAGTTCCCGAGAACCTTCCTGCCCACCTGCCCTCTGCCCCAAATTTGGTGGGTGGAAAATTGTACCTGTGATTCCTGGTAGGATACAGGGAGAGGGATGTTCCCAGGGGAACAAGGGAGACACCAGCATCTTCATCATGGAAAAGTCCCACATCCTTGGTGGGAGATGCTGTGCTCCTCAATGGCATGGCTGGAGGCACTCCTTGGTGGGAATGGCCCTGGGATTCATCAGGATGGAATGTCCCAGGGCACTGGTTGAAGTCCTGCTGGAGCTGTGCTGGCTTCTACACAACCATCCAAACAAATCAACTTACTGATGGGGATGGCACAGGGACCCCAGTGCCAACCATGAAGTCCCGCAGGCAGCACTGGGAGGGGACGTGGGGCCTCATGCCAGTCCTATGGATTCCCTGGTGCATATGTTCAGCTGAAGGAAATAGAGCAGTGGGATAAGGCATTTTGGGGTGTCCATGAGCCAGTGGGGAAAACCAGGGTCGGGGGAAGGGAAACGTGGTTATTTCTTGCAGTTCAGGCCCCCTGCACCCTGTATCCTCCAGCCCTGGCTGATGCTGTGTCCCACACAGGTGGAGCAGATCTTGTCAGAGTTCCGGCTGAAGGAGGAGGACCTGAAGAAAGTGATGTACCGGATGCAGAAGGAGATGGACCGAGGTCTCAAGCTGGAGACACATGAGGAAGCCTCTGTCAAAATGCTGCCCACCTATGTCCGCTCCACCCCTGAGGGCTCAGGTATGGCGTCACTCCTGGTCCCTTGTGTTACTCCCTCCCCAAGACCCTGTTGAGCTCCATGCAGAAGGCTGAGCCCACCCCAAGCCCATCACCTTGTTCCCCCACCCCGGCTTTGCAGAGGTGGGAGATTTCCTGTCGCTGGACCTGGGTGGCACCAATTTCCGTGTGATGCTGGTGAAGGTGGGCGAGGGGGAGGAGGGGCAGTGGAAGGTGAAGACGAAGCACCAGATGTATTCCATCCCAGAGGACGCCATGACTGGGACGGCTGAGATGGTGAGTGGGGTACACAGGGCATCCCGTCCCTTCCCAGTCCCTGTCAGCGTGCATGTTCCAGTGAGGACACTGGAGGGGACGCTCCTCATCCCTCAAGTCAGCAGAAAGCAGGGTGTGGCCAGGCCTGGGGATCCCACGGTGGGGACGGGACAGTGTCGGTCTGTGTGCGGTGGGAGGGTGGTAACAGCCCCTGGCAAAGGCTGGGCCTCCTGTCTTCCAGCTCTTCGACTACATCTCTGAGTGCATCTCTGATTTCCTGGACAAGCACCAGATGAAGCACAAAAAGCTGCCCCTGGGTTTCACCTTCTCCTTCCCTGTGCGGCACGAGGACATTGACAAGGTGAGGGGGTGGCTGGGCAGCACAAGGGCTCAGGGGTCCCCGAGCGCCAGCTACACCCACAGCCCCATTTTGGTCTGATTCCCATTCCAGGGCATCCTCCTGAACTGGACCAAGGGCTTCAAAGCTTCCGGCGCAGAAGGGAACAATGTGGTGGGGCTGCTGAGGGACGCCATCAAACGGCGAGGGGTGAGAGGGTCGGCTGTGCTGGTACCACCATGGTGGGGGGCCCCCGGCACTCCTGGCTGTCCCTGCAATGGGCTCACTGAAGCCCAACTTTGCCTGCAACAGGGCTGCTGGAGTGTGGTGTGTCCCCAGGAAGGGACCACTGGAGCCCCGTTATCCCCATGATGGGGCCACTGGAGCCTGGTGTGTCCCCAGGAAGGGCCATTCCATGCGTGTGCACACATGTGCAACACATGCCCACATCCTCACCCTTGGGGACCCTCTACCCCAGACCTGCCTGCTGCGGGACAGCCCAGCCCCCTGTGAGCC